GTGTGACCTTCGGCAAGTTACTTAACTTCTCTGAGCCTTAGTTTCCTGTTTGTAAAATGAGGATCACACTAGTCAGTGCCTCACAAGGGTTGCTGTGAGGATTATAATAAATGAGGCAAAGGCATCCAATCACCGTAAAATACTTGGTTTAGTGCCTGGTGTGCAGCCAGCACTGAAGAAATGTTCAGCAAATAATTATTGCTCACTGGTCTACTTCCCCACTCATGGCTTATGCCATTCCACCAATGTCTTTAAAATGGTTATTAAGCGCCTATCTTTAGCTCCTACTATTTGGAGTTTCAGACCTATAGCTCCCTTATCATGGGAATGCCCCTTCCTTCCACCCTCCAGCTGGCATCTGACAGTCCTGCCAGACCTGGACTTCTTGGCCTCCCAGCCCCTCCAGCACACCAGCCAGTTCTATGCCCAAGCAGCTCCTTCATCTATTGCCTGCTCTCCACTCCTCCTGGTATTGATGCCGAGAACTTGGCCTCTGTGCACCAGGGCTGAATCGAATCTTGGAGACAGAGTTCTGGGTGAAGTAGAAAACGATAGCTTTATTGTTCTGCCAGGCAAAGGGGAACACAGAGGGTTCCTGCCCCTCAAAACTGTGTGTCCCAACCCAGGAGGATTTGGTGAGGAGTTTTATAACAATGGTTCAAGGATGGGGTTGTTGATAGGGTTAGGGTGTGTGCAGTGCCTGCACTCCTTTAATCTGGTCTCAGGTAATCTCTTTTTTATTTATTTTATTTCATTTTTTTGCGGTACACGGGCCTCTCACTGTTGTGGCCTCTCCCGCCGCGGAGCACAGGCTCCGGACGTGCAGGCTCAGTGGCCATGGCTCACGGGCCCAGCCGCTCCGCGGAATGTGGGATCTTCCCGGACTGGGGCACGAACCCGTGTCCCCTGCATCTGCAGGTGGACTCTCAACCACTGCGCCACCAGGGAAGCCCCCTCAGGTGATCTCTTGATGAGCTTCTCTGGGTCCTTTAATCTGGCATGTTCCTAGAACAAGCTGAGACTTGTAGGACAGAGCCACCTGACAAGAGCTGTGGCCCTTGGTAGGATGCTGCCATGCCAAACTGGGGTCTGGCACAGAGGAAGCCAGGGGACCAAATACTTTGATCACCTTCGCCTGCCAGGGCCACCTATAGGCTGAAGCCAACCCGCGCTATGGCACAAGGGAGCCTCCAAATGCGGTCCATGGAGGCCAGACTGCCAGGCGAGCAGGGTGGAGAGGACACCTGGAGGGGCAAGAAGAACGTCAGCGCTCTTAGGAATCCTGGTTTCTTGTCCACTGACCAGGTCTAAGTCTGTGACTCTGAGCACGGAGGAAGGAAAGTGTTCACATCCGTAAGAACATCACCTCCTTTCTTCCAGTTTCATCTTTTTCAACCAGAAAAGTCATACTGGCAACCAAGGAAGTCCAGACCCACTCCTGGGCCGGGCACGGCAAAGTCACTGGGGCCACGAGAGACACCCGATATCCACTCTCTCCTGGCTGCTCTCAGCTTACGCCACGGAGGCCTTTCCACGGAGAGCCGCGGTTCTCTTCTGAAACCACCGGAGAGCTGGGATACTTTCTGTCACTCATAGTGGTCAGGAGTGAGGATATCTTGTGCAAACTCAAGAGTAAACTTTAAATGTCTCTCACTTATTTTTTATTTTTTATTTTTTTGCGGTACGCGGGCCTCTCACCGCTGTGGCCTCTCCCGTTGCGGAGCGCAGGCTCCAGACGCGCAGGCTCAGCGGCCATGGCTCATGGGCCCAGCCGCCCCGCGGCATGTGGGATCCTCCCAGACCGGGGCACGAACCCGCGTCCCCTGCATCGGCAGGCGGACTCTCAACCACTGCGCCACCAGGGAAGCCCAGAAGTCTCTAATTTTAATGCATTTAAATGTATCAGTCTTTTCTTATGGCTGGTGCTTTTGGTGCCTTGTTTAAGAAATCCTTCTTGTCTTTTGTGCTGAAGGTGACCAGATTGTGCTGGAGGCTTGCAGCTGTGCTTCAGGGCATCTTCTTTGGGCCCTGGGTCACACTGCTTCCGCTGTGGGGCAGGCAGGTTCTTCTGGGACCCCAGGCTTGGCCGGGTAGGGGAGGGAGAGGCCACTTCCGGGGTCCTTCTACCATGGAGCCCAAGTTTCCAAGAAGAGATTTTCCGTGGACCGTGTCCCCACCATTCTTGTGAGTGTGGAAGGTCTTCCCAGTGGATGGGCAGGCCTGTGTCCCAGTGGGCCAGGGTTGGGGCAGGACTGAGCTGCCACCTGTGTGGATGCTCAGGCAGGGTGGGCTGTGACAGGGGCTGACTCCAGCTCAGAACTGGGATATCTGGTTCCTGAACTGTGGGTCCCTGGAGCAGATGAGGTGGGACAGGGAGAAAACTGGAGGTGGTGGAGCAGTAGGAAACCTCCCATCTGCCCTCTAATTCTGGATTCGAGGGGATGTAATGGCACGATTCTAACCAACTGTCTCAAGCAGAACAGGTGGCAGGTTTACGCCTGTTGGGGGACGGGGAAGACGTCCTGACTCCTTGGCCCTCACTCCTCAAGGTCACCTGGGTTAGGCAAGGATGGTTGCACTGTTCACAGTTCCCTTCCCAGGACCCACAGTCCCTGCCACGTGGGAGGCATTAGTAGATATTTGTTCAGTAATACATTGACAATTTTCAAAGAATTGTGTAAAAAAATTAATTTTCTAGTTTCTCCTGAAGAACACTTTTTGTAGCCACTAGGTGGAGGAGTTAATTACATCAAGCTGGCTTGTGAAAGGGGGGGGGTGGGGGTGGGGGGGTGGGGGGAAGGGGTGGAATTCAGATAGGGAAGCAAGCATTTGAATTTAAATTCAATCTTGTTTTAATTCTGTTTTGGAGCCTGTTAATTACTTAGTTTAAAAAACATATTGTCCTAAGAAACATTTGCAGGATAAATCTGAGATAAAGACCGTGCTGGATGACTTTCTTTCTCAAGCTAAAGATGGTATGAATTTCTCTTCTACATTGTTTCCAAATTCAGTCATTTTAGGGCTTCGACTAGATGTGAATTCTTTCCATTCTTTATTCAGATAAATGAATGTCAACTCAGTTTGCCCTTTTGCTCAGAAGTGGTCTTTTACTGTCAGAATGTGGCAACCTCCTTTGTTTATTGCATCTGGCAGATCTGAGTCTCTGGGACTGACCCCTTCCCAAGTCCCCCCCCCCAGAGCTCTTCCTCAGCTTCCATCCCCGTTGATTACCCTCCCTCGTTCCGAACAGCTTCAGAGAGTCCTGGATCTTCCGTTTTCTCTTCTGTAGGAAATCAGGTATCTTGCCAGCCCTACCTTTTGTTTAAAAATTTTTTTTCAAAAGCAATTTGTTTATTTGAAAATACAGGGCTTCCCTGGTGGTGCAGTGGTTAAGAATCTGCCTGCCAATGCAGGGGACATGGGTTCGAGCCCTGGTCTGGGAAGATCCCACATGCCATGGAGCAACTAAGCCCGTGCGCCACAACTACTGAGCCTGTGACACAACTACCGAAGCCCACACTCCTAGAGCCCATGCTCTGCAACAAGAGAAGCCACTGCAATGAGAAGCCCGCGCACCGCAACAAAGAGTAGCCCCTGCTCGCTGCAACTAGAGAAAATCCATGCACAGCAACAAAGACCCAACGCAGCCAAAACAAAACAAAACAGAACAAAACAACAACAACAACAGCAGCAACAACAACAAATATATATATAAAGTACAGCTACAATCACAGGCTTGCATCAAAGAGGCTCTTATTTTGAGGGGGAAAATGAATGTACACATCTGGAAATGACTTGGAGGTGTTGAGATAGGGATGGACAAATAATCCTAAATTTATCTCTGTATCATTATGAGTTATTATGATAGCAAAACTGTCCTTTGTTTTTCTGTGTACAGGTCTGTGAGTTTTAATACATGTATAGATTCCTGTAACCAGTACCATGATCAGGATAAAGAACAGACCATCACCCCCCAAACTCCCTTGTGCCAGCTCTGTTTTTAGTCACATTAAAATGTTGCTGTACAATATTGTGCTTATATTTAATGATTTAAAAAACGTGGTGCCACTTTCTCTGGCCATCACAGTGTCTGAGGAGAAACCACAGTCATTGGATTACCCTTCTGTATAGGTAGTGGGTCATTTTTGTTTGGCTGTTTTCAAGACTTTGTCTTTAGTTTTGTAGCAGTTTGATTATGATCTATCTAGGCTTGTACTTCTTGGAGTTGGTTCTGTTAAGGGTTCATTGAGCTTCTTGAGTCTGTCTGTTTGCATCTTTCAGCAAATTTGGGAAGTCTTCAACCATATTTTTTCACACACAAACAAAAGTAATTGTTTCGGATACCATTTGTTTGCCTCTCCAGATATTCTTTCCATATTTCTCTAGCCTGCTCTGTGCCCCAGAGGGGTGTCTTATATGGATCATATCATTGCCCAATGTCCCATGACTTCCTGTTAGGTTTGGCGAATAGGGAAAACTAGCAAGAGGTAGAAATGGGTAGTTTGGGTATTTATTCCTCAGGATGCCTCACTGCAGAATCATCCCAGGCTGGCTGTGTTTCTCTGGGAAGGTGAGAGTTCAAATCAAGCACCATTTCCATCAGGTTTCTCTGTCTCTGGCTGAAACACAGTAATTGCTCCCCTTCCTCATTTTTTGGGTTTAGCTGATGATACGCACCCCTCCACCTTGGTCAGCAATCCTGGTATGACAAAATTCATACCAGGGAGTGGGGATCAGAGTCTCTCTTCCTTTCATCCTTCATTCCCAGGCATTTGGGCCTACAGTCCCAGGACCAGCCTCAAAGAGAGTCTGTTTTCAAGACCGGCAACTCTAGACCCAGACTGGCTGTTGGGAGTGGAACGAGCTTTGTAGGTTTGCTGTTGCCTCATTCTCCTCTGCCTCCCTCCAGCCAAGAGAAATACCCTAAGCAAGAAGCTGGGAGCAACAGCACGAGAGTTTATTATCATCATTGCTCAAGAGGGGACATGAAGCAGGCAGGATGGTGAAGGTGAGCAGGAAATGGACCAGAGAAGCTCTGATGGTTGGTGGTGCAGGGCAGTAGCTGTGGCCATGGGGGAAGGATAACTGGGGCCAGAGGAGAGCCTCTCTTCCCGGCCTGGTTCTTCTTCCACGAGGCAGATGCTGGGACACCCAGTCCAGTTGGAGCTCCAGACACGAGTCCTCTGGAGAAGCAGGGCTAATTTCACTCACTCCCAGCAGTTTCTTCCAAGGGAGGGTCTCTTTTCTGAGGGAAAAGGAGGGGGTGGGACAGCCCATGGGGGAGAGAAAGTATAAATGCTCTGTACCAGGGCAGCTTAGTTCTGGAGCCAATCAGATCCACCATCAGCCTCATGGTACCTGACGCAAAGAGCCCCAAGGTCCCACCATGTACATGGACTTCCCTAGCTTCCTAGGGTCTCTTTTTCAGATTTTTTTTTTTGATGTGGACCAATTTTTAAAAAGTCTTTATTGAATTTGTTACAATATTGCTTCTGTTTTATGTTTTGGTGTTTTGGCCGCGAGGCATGTGGGATCTTAGCTCCCTGACCAGGGATTGAACCAGCAGCACCCCCTGCATTGGAAGGTGAAGTCTTAACCAGTGGATTGCCAGGGAAGTCCCTCACTAGGGTCTTTGGACTGGGTGTTACTTGGTCAGGGACAGGGGGTCTCTGGGCTGGGCCACTACTGGGGTGGAAAGACAGGAATGATGTCCCTTGACACTCACTGTGATGACACTTTTCTCCTCCCCAAACCATCTGCTCTCCATTCCTGTCTCCCCTGGACAGCACTGCTGCCCCAAACACACAGACACAAGCTTTAGGGACTCACCTCCTTAGATTGTTATTTTCTCCAGCAGCACAGACACAGGGGGACCAGAGATGCTAGAAGCAGCAGAGCCCAGACCCCCAACAGCATGGCATTGATGCTTATGAACAGGGCCTGGGGACAGAGGACCGAAGCTATAGGCACCCAGAGTGACTGCTGCCATTTGTGGTCTGTCTTCACGCTGATCATGGCACAGGGTCACTCTCCACCCCATTCATCCCATCCCCAAGTCGGTAGCTTCCGGGGTGGGGGGAGGCTGAAGAAGGAGCCCGGGGTGGGAGTCAGTGGGTGTAGCATGCAGAGAGCAGCCAGTAACCCCTGTCACCGGGTCTCAGCGTCCTCATCTGAGCAGCGATGGGCTTGGGCTGTGGTCTGGTTCCCTGACAAGCCCAAGACTTGAACATGCATTTAACACCTTCGCAGCTCTTCACGTACTTGCAGTATTAGCTCATTTATTATGAGTTCAGTGTTTGTATTTCCCACAGATCTGTAACTCCCACAACCATAGGAACCGCTTCTGTTTCGTTCGCCGCCATGCTGTAGTGACGGCAGACATGCTCAGGGCAGAACAGGTCATGCCCTTTTTGGTGGACAGCCTCACTCTCCTCCACTGTCTGACCCTCCCTGCCCACTGCCTGCTGCCTTCCCCGGCCCGGCTACCTTCAGCATGTTCACATAGGAGGTGCACAGCTGCAGCCTTCCCTCGTCTGCACTCGGAGAGCTGGGGGCCCCGGTGGGCCTCCAGGAAGGGGAGACATCACAGATACCATTAAAGAGAAAATGGTGGTACTCATGGAAACTTCTAGCCCCAATGATGATGGCGGCTGTGGCCGTGGAGAAAGCTGCCAGGGTGAGCAGGGTCCTCAGCAGGGCCTGGTGAGGGCAGTGTGCAGAGACAGACCTTGGAGACTCAGTCTCTCTGGAGCCCATCCCAGGACGAAGAGCGGGAAGACTAGTGGAGGGGGCGGGGGATGGGCGGCAGGCTGGGGGTGGCCTCCAGCTTCCGGGGCTGGTGTCAACCCCTCCCCGAACTCACCCAGTAGGTACCGCCTCGTTTCTCATAAATGAAGGCGACAGCTGCAGCCAGCACAGCCTGGGGAGAGATTGAAGCAGCGGGGGTAGCTCAGGGCAGCCAAGCCCCACCCCCCAGCAGCCTGCTTCTTTTTCCTTCCTCAACTCCCACAGGCAAAGCCAGCCATCCTGCTGGCCTTTCCCCACGGCACCCCACGTGGACCCGAGGTTTTGAGCTGAGTTCTGTTGTCTTCAACGGTGAGGGTATTGAAGGCCCGAGGCTGCAGGACCCTCTATTTTAGGGACATCAAAACTGCTCATGGTCAAGCCGGGTGTAAGCCCCCCTTCCCTTCTCCAAAACCCTCTCTTTTTAAGCAACACCAGGTGCTTTATGAAAGCTCCAGGGCGATGGGGTGGAAGGTCCGGGGTGTTGGAGGAGCTCTCAGTACAGGATCAGCGTCCGCCGCCTCGGGGTGAGGGCAGGCGCTCGTTCCAACAGCGTTCAGCCTCCCACCCAGCGGGTCTTCCAGGACAGGAAGTCTGGTTGATGCCAAGGGAAAGATGGACCTGAATCCTGTTTGGCAGTTCTGTAGCTAATCTCAGTGCTTTCGGCTGTGGGGTGGATGAGGATCATTACTTTGGGCTCCTCTCTTAATCGATATGTGTGTTTTGCTCTTGTTCTGTGAGGGTGGGCAGGACAGAGGGCGCCTCTTTCCTGCTATGATCCGCCCACCCATCTCCTGCTGCAGGTGGCAAACGTCCATCTGCTGACATAGCTGCTGTTGTCTGGTGAGCCCCCCCTGGACTTCCCCTGTGTGCGGGGCCTGCAGAGGGCAATGGGAAACCACCGGGGGGTGCACCTCCCTTGTACACACCCTCCAGCACGTTCCGCCTCCCTCCATCTCAGTGCAAGTGCCTGGAGATGAGCCCTGTCCTAGATCCTTAGCTGATCTGCCGCTGACGGTGGGAGAAGTGGTGGGAGAAGCCCGGTGCAGGGACCCGGGAGAGCTGACCGGTGACCGTGGCCCTCCCAGCCCTTAGCTCAGCTAGTTTCCCGTCTGTAGAAGCCTGGTGTCAGCCTAGAGCTCTGGGAGTCTTTTCAGCTGCAAACAGTCTACATTCTGATGGGGTCGATGGTGGTGGTCTCTCACCTCTGATAGGGGGTCCCTCTGCCCACGGTCCTCCCGCCCCACTCACCACAGCCCCTGTCCAGATGGGAGTTCCCGATCCAAGCAGCATGGTGTAGTAGAAGATGAAGAGGAATCCCCCCAGGACCCCACTCAACACTCCCAGCACGGTCTGCACCACCTGAAAGATGAAAAACTTAAGAACCCGGATCTCGGGTTCCCAGGCCCAGTCTGCGCCTAAGCCTCAGGGGAGTTTTGAGGACTTTCCACTCCATGTAGTAAAGGTTAGAACCCTATGAAAGGGAAAGAGAGAGAGAAGAGAGAAAGAGAGGGGGCACGAGAAGGGAGAGGACAGGAGGGGAGAGAAGGCGAGGGGAGGGGAGAGCTAGCCCACGCTGGGTCATGAGAGGATGAACTCTGGGTTCCACCAGCTGGGACTTTAAATGGTCAGGGGCTCCTCTGCACCCTTCAGCTCACAGCCCACCCTACCTACAGCTTTCACTGAGAGGCCAGTAAGTGAAGGAAAGGCCAGAACTTGATCTCTAGGAAGAGCATAAGACTGGCTCAGCATCCCATTCAGAGAGAGGCTGGCTGGGAGAGTGTGCGGCCAGAGGAGGGGGCTTACCCTTCCCAGTCCGGGGAGCCTGGGCGCCTGTCCTCGCCCTACTCACCCAGGAGGCCACCAGCAGCTGGCGGTGGCCCAGGGCCCGGGAGGCGGCGTGCGGCGAGGGCACGTGGGGCTGCAGCAGGGGACACCTACTCAGCGGCAACTTGGCCAGAGCCGACTCCTGGTGGATGTGCACCTTGATGCAGGTGGGCTGGGTAGCCCCAGAGGCCACGTCCCCGCCATCTGCCATCTTCAAGCCGGTGGACACCCGCCTGGGAGGGAGGAAGGGGGCACCAGGGGGAAGAGTTGGCAGGAGGTTTGCACAGATTTCATGGGAGCTGGCGAGGCCCCCGGTCACAGTGCAGCATCTGGGACCTGCCTTGAGGGGTGTCATGTGAGGGATCCCTGCGTCTGCTGAGGCTGTGGCCACCGCTCAGCCCACTGGAGCTGCCCTCTTCACCCTAGACCTGCTGTGTCTCCCCATCCTCCACCCACGGCCTCAGGGTCTGGACCAAGCAGTGCCCTGGAGCCCTCACCTCTCTCCTTTCTGCTCCCAGCCCGCTTGTGTGATCACGGCCCTCACCCTGGCTCTCCCCTCTGCCTCTTCCCCTCCAGAGCCCTCAGGCTGCCGGACAGGACAGAAGAGAGTCCTGGCTGCCTGTTGAACTACTGTTGCGGCAGTGGCTTCCCAGCTGAGCCCGGGGACCCACCCCCCGCCCCTACATATTTCCCTCTCCATCAATGGCTACTTAGCCCCATGCTGCCTGTTCAAACTGCGCCCCCCCAACCCTCTGCATGAAGTTGTGGGTGCAGATGGAGGCCAAAGGCCAGAATGACTTGGCATCAAACGGGGACAAGGCTGTACCTGGCCTCCACTCCTGCCACCTTCCTGGATGCATATCCTCTACATGGTGGTTGGTCCTTCCCTCCCCAGCAAGTTCTGGGGGGCCTTTGAGGGGGCAGGGTGTGGACTCCTCTGGGGAGGCGACCTGTGAGAAGGGTCTCTGGGAAAGGGTCGCCTGGGCTGAGGGTCTGCCTCACCTGCTCTCCTCAGGGACCGGCAGTCACGGTCAAGGGTGATAGGAGGGCTGGGGATGGCTGAGTGGGGGCTTAGAACCAGGCAGAAAGGGGAGGGGTTTGGTGGAGCTCCAGAAAGGGAAGGATGAGGCAACTTCTCAGCACACAGCTGGAGCAAAGGGCCCCTCCAGGGTTTTCTAGCTGCCAGGGGAGATCACTTGGCTCCGACGCTCTGGAGAGCACAGAGGAGACTGCAGAGCTGACCAGCCCTGGAAAATCCCCCATCCCCACCAGGGCAGGGGCTTTCTGAACAAGGACTTGCCTGTGCTGTGTGCACCCCAGTGTGTGTGCTGCATAGGGATGAACACGCCAGTGTGTGCGTGTTTGTGCGCTCTGCCTTCTCCGGCCAGCCTGATTATCTACTCAAGACCAACCCCCCGCCCCCAGAGGGGCCCCTTTGGGCTAGCTCTTTTCTGGGAGGTCAAACCCTCATCACTCCACCCCTTCCTTCTGCTCTCTCCCACCCACTGCCGGGTGCCTCAGCTCTGGGCAGCTCTGCTCTACTCGGCCGCTGGTTCCCAGAGGACAGCAGGTGAGCAGGGCCCTCAGGTGAGCAGTCCAGGTGACCTGTCCCAGGAGACTCTCAGGGCAGGACGCCTCTCTCTTTCTCTCGAGGAGTCTCCAAGACCAGTCCCCAAAGCCCCCATCCTGTCTCACAGGATGCCATTCTCTCCCCATTCCTGGTCCCTGTAGGACCTCCTTGGGAGGGAGGGATACACTAGAGAGAGGACGTGACACTAGAAAAATGGCTAGGGAGGTCGGGGGGCCTGTGCCTGGCCGCGTCAGCTGGACTCTCCCTCCCCAGTGCCTCATATCTTTATTCTGAGCGTGGGGTGGCTGAGGCTCGGGTGGTTTCCTGGTGAGAGGTCCTTCAATAGCAAAGGCAGAAGGTGGAGGGCCCAGGGTGTAGCTGGGATCCTGGCCCTCTCTCGCCAGCTTCAGGGGCACAGGGAGGAGCTGGGCAGAGAAGAGTGTCCAAGGCAGCAGGGGAGAGCCCCACACCCTGGAGTTAGGGTGGCGTGAAAGGGGATCTTCATGGGGCTGGCCTGGCTCAGAGGAAGAGCAGGAATCTAGGTTGATCTGGGGATTGGAGCTGGGGGTGAGGCGAGAGGGGGAAGCAGTGGTATCCGGAGGGCTCAGAGGGAGCCGGAGCCCAAGGCACATTCTGGACTCTGTAATGTGGTGCTGATTGCTGGGTCCCAAGCAAGATCTGGCCAGAATCCCGGCTGGGCTTCCTTGTGTGTCTGTGAACAGGTCTGAACCTCCTTGCACGTCTGCAGAATCGTCAAACGCCTGTCCTTTATACTGCACGGAGGCCAGGTAGGTGAAGAGTGAGACTGCTCTGTAAAGTTCATACGATACAAATGGGAAGGCCTTAAACTTATTGCTCTTGCTAGTGTTTTTAGAATTGTTATTAACAATGTTATGATTTAAACAGTGATAAGTAGGATGCCCATGAGAACTACCTGGAGAGGATTTCCTTTGGAGCTAGGCAAGTTGATTCTAAAGTGCCTAAGGAGAAGTAATCTAGCAAAAGTGGCCATGAGGGGCTTCCCTGGTGGCGCAGTGGTTGAGAATCCGCCTGCCGATGCAGGGGACACGGGTTCGTGCCCCAGCCCGGGAAGATCCCACATGCCGTGCAGTGGCTGGTCCCGTGAGCCATGGCCGCTGAGCCTGCGCGTCCGGAGCCTGTGCTCCGCAACGGGAGAGGCCACGACGGTGAGAGGCCCGCGTACTGCAAAAAACAAAACAAACAAACAAAACAAAAACAACAACAACAAAAAAAGTGGCCATGAAAGAAAAAAGTAACATGGGGGGGGCGGGTCATGAAAGAGCTCAACTAAATATTAAACTCTATACTCATTATTAAAATCAGAGTAATGCTGCGTGACTCATCAGATCCACCAATGGGCAGAATATAAAGACTAAAACAGGCTTGGATTCCTACGGGAATTTTATTTTTGCTCAGGGGAGCGTTTTAAATCAGTGGGAGAAAGATGATATATTCCGTAAACAGAATATACTCTTTAGAAGTTAACCATCTGAAGAGAACAAACCAGAACCAACTTGGTTCCATTTTTTCCAACTTGCAAGGTAAATTCCAGATGGCTCAACATTTAAGTGTGAAAACTGAAAACATAAAAGCACTTAGAAGAAAACATGGATGAATTATTATTTTATAATCTTGAAATGGGAAAGTCCCTTTTAAGTACAATATAAAACCCAGAAATCATAAAAAATGACTGAAACCTTTGATTATATAAAAATACAAATGAAGTTCAAAACTAAATCACAAATTGAAAGCCTTATCTGTAACTCGTGTCACCGATGGTAATTTTTCAAATACACGAAGAACTCCCATAAAGACCAAAACAAAACAGAGTAACACGAGGGGTTCATAGGATATGAAAGGAAAGCTCACAAAAGAAGAGGAAAAAGACTCTTAAACGTATGAAAGATGACCAACCTCACTCATAATAAGAGAACTGATACTGGAGTAGTCACAGAAAGCAGACTGGTGGTTGCTTGGGGCCAAGGGTTGGAGGGGTTCCTGGGGAAGGGACTTTAGGGGACTTTTTGCAGCATAGAAAAATGTTCTGTATCTTGATTGTAGTTATGGTTGCACATAGGTACACATTTGTTAAAAGTCACCGAGATCCACAATTAAAAGGGGGCATTTTATTGACTAAAAAGGATTAAAATCTACAACAGAATGTCATTTTTCCAAGAGACATTCGAAAAGATTAGAAAGTTTGCTGACACCTTCTGCTGGTCTTGGGGAGGAGCAGTGGACACTCTTGGAATTGCCCTTGCATGAGAATTGCACGGAAGTAGCTCCATGGAGGGAAATACCTTTTAAAATTACAAATACACATTCCCATTGACCTGCTGATTCCACATTGCTTGTAAGAAAAAAAATAAAGGTCTATAAATAGGGGACTGCTTAAAGCAATTACGATGCTTTCGTATAATGGAATACTATGCAGCCATAAAAACGAGTGAGGACGCATTTTATGGACTGATGTAGGATTATTTTTTTATTTTATTTTATTTTTTTTGCGGTACGCGGGCCTCTCACCGCTGTGGCCTCTCCCGTTGCGGAGCACAGGCTCCGGACACACAGGCTTAGCGGCCATGGCTCACGGGCCCAGCCGCTCCGTGGCATGTGGGATCTTCCCGGACCGGGTCACGAACCTGTGTCCCCTGCATCGGCAGGCGGACTCTCAACCACTGCGCCACCAGGGAAGCCCGATGTAGGATTATTTTTAAAAGATGGTTCTGTGAACAAATCATTGTGCAGAAACTGTGTGTGCTATCCTGCCATTTGTGGGAAAAGAGGGAGAGAAAGAATATTTTTACATGTTTTTATATGCAAAAAAGTCATTGTAGGATATATTAGAAAATGATACTATTTTTCCACCTGGAAGACAACTAGCTGGCTAGGAGAGGAAGAGGGGAGAGTGGGTTTTAGCAGTATACCCTTTTTTATCTTTTGATTTTTTTTTAACCATATGAAAGTGTTACGTATAAATATGTACACTATGTTCCTGAAATAATTCAGATTCCTTTCTTTGTCAGTCCCAAGACCCAGACAAACTGTATCTGACCATTTTGGGAAGAGGTCCAAGAGTCTATATGGTGAAAACTCTAGAGGTGATTCAGATTTGCATCCCAGATTAAGGTCACTGTGACAGAGACTTCCCTGGTGGTCCAGTGGTTAAGACTCTGTGCTTCCAAGGCAGGGGGCATGGGTTTGATTCCTGGTTGGGGAACTAAGATCCCACATGCCGTGACTTGGCTTGACTCAAAGACTGTTTTCTCTCCCTGCACTCATGCAGTGTATTCCTTTTTCCCTTACTTAGGTCTCAAACCTCACTTCTGTGCATCTCCCCAGCAGGCAGGATGACCCAAAACATGCTGGCTGTGAATGGAGTCGATGTGATCTCTACGCTGTCCCAGCCCACTCACATCGACATCCACATCCATCAGGAATCTGCTTTGGCACAACTGCTAAAAGCTGGGAGCTCCCTGATGGGGCGCCTGTCCCACCATCCTGCCAAGGCCAGCATAAGCTACAGACAGCTGGCACTACGGGTAAGGGCGGGATAGAGAGGTGGGTTAGCAAGGTGACACAGAGGAGGGTAACGCTCCTTCTTCAGTACGATGCGGAAAAGGAAAGTGGGTTGAATCCCCATGAAAAGTCACTATTAGTATCCCATCTTGTTTGGGACAAGAACGTTTGGGAAGTTTCGCCACAGAGATTTAGATGGAAAGGAATAGTGGATCCCTCCTTTGGTGCAACGTGAGCAGTCCCAGCCAGAGCTGGGGGGTGGGCGGAAGGGTCCCTGGAGGCTGTTCATTCAGGTTGATTGAACCCACGTGGACAGAGGGCCTGCGATGCAAGGCAATATGATAGGCACTTTGGGGGAAAAACTTCAGAGAGAATATCTAGGCAATAACCTGAAGGTGCCCGGCGTCCATCAGAAGGGATCAGGCAACTACACTAATGCCTAAAATTAAAGGTAGCTCAGGTGACATCCTTGGGAGGCAGGATGGCGTCCTGCAGGGGTAGGCATCTGAGCCAGACCTTGAATGGAGAAGCAGCGTGTTTAGACAGATAGAGGTGGAAGATGGAAGAAAAGGAATCTCGGGTTAAAAGAATGGCAAGAAAGAAGCCAGAAAGCATAGGACAAGTTCTGTCAGGGTACAGAGGATGGGACTCGTGGCTGATTAGACTGGAAATACAGACCAGGGCCATATTGCTGAGAGCCTGGAGTGACAAGGTGAGGAGTCTGCTGTCCTGAATCAGCTTCGATAGTGGGAAGACTGTGGAGGGATTCTGAGCAGGCACCTGAACTTCAGGCACCCTCACAGCCAGGAGGTGTCCAGGTAAGAAGCATGGAGGGTCTGCACCTGCAACGTCGCAGCAGAAATGAGGAGGAAAGAGAGGAGTCCAAATCCTTTGTGGATGGGGTTGCCATGACTTGGGAGTGAGTGGATGTAGAGTACAAGGGAGGAGAGGAGTCCGGGAAGATGCTGAGGTTTGGAGTGAAGGAGACCGGGAAATTGGAGCCCTGGAAGTCAGCGAGGCAGACACTGAGGGTGTGCGTAGGGTCCGGAATTTGGACGCAATGAATCTGAGAAGCTGGCAGGACATGTAGATGGTGACGTCCAAGAGGCTGTGATAGTTGGATCCTCCAGGAAGCAGACGCCGAGGGGGAGTTGGGAGTGCGAAAGGTTTATTGGGGTGTAACATCCATGCAATGAAAAGAGCAGGAGCAGGGCTGGGCAGGGGGAGACATCAGATCATGAGGCAGGGCTGACGAGGTCTGGGCCAGCCCAGTGGGGAGCTCGGGAGCAAAGACTGCCCATCACAGGAGTTCCGTGTTAGCTGAAAATGGCCCTTGAACCTTGCTTGATCATTGGCTGGGTAGCCACCCCGAAAGACTGTACCCTCAGTTTGAAAGATGAAGGGACCTTGAAGGCGCTGACCACCGTAGGCTGTCAGCTAACCACTCTCCTTTCTTGAAGGAGGTCATCATGGCCCATCATGGATGATGGGCTTCCCAAGGGAAAATGAGGAGGAAAAAAAGGAGGAATCATCAGGTGGGATGACAAATTGTGGTATTTAGGAAAAATGGGATTTAGAAAAGAATGAAGGATAAAAGGCTGGCAAGTCAGAGGGATGAGGGAGAACCAGGACGGGCTGCTTCACGGACGTTAAGGGAACAGAATTTCCAGAATCGGAGCTGCGGAGAAGTCAGGGCAGAGGAAGAGGAGAGGAAAGCCACCTAGGTGGGAGCTGGGTGGCTGGAGCAGGTGACTCATGGGAAGGGGTGTGGCTTTCCCCATCTCTTGCAGGTGACCCAGATATTGCTGGGGGCTATGAGCTGTGCTCTTGGAGGGCTTCTCTGCTTGGGGCCCTGGATTCAGCTGCGTGCCTCAGGCTGTGCCTTTTGGGCAGGGTTTGTGGTGAGTAAGAAAGGGGTTGTGAGCTCTGAGGGAGGCAAGTGTTTATGGACAAGGAGAAAGAAAGTTCCTTTTGGACCTGGGTCAGGGATTTGGGGAAGAGACCACAGACCCAGAGTCCAAATGCTCTCTGTTATGAGGAGGCTGCCTTAGGGGGTGGGCAAAACCCTTCCACCCTCTGTTTTTCTCTTTAAGGCAAGGCTGGGAATAGCGGGGCAGTTGTAGGTGGAGTCCTGTCCATCTGCTAGGTTTCTTTGCCTGTTCCTTGGATCCTGCTTCAATTTGGCTGTTCTGGGGCCCTGTTGGGAGAAGTGTGACGGGAGATCATTTCAGGACAGCCAACTGGAGGACTTTTCTGGTGTCTTCTCTTCCTAGGCCATTGCAGCAGGAGTTGGGGCCATTGTCCATGAGAAACACTGCGGCAAACTTTCAGTGAGTCTGGGCATCCTCTGTGCCCCACATTGTCCTCTTCCCCCTCCTATGTCTCTGTTTTCTTGCCCTGTTTTTCTGTCTTCTCCCCTTTGGTTTCAAATATCCTAAGATCTTTCCTGGAGGGGTAGGGAGGGTTTCCTCAGCCAGGAAGCTGGGGAAGAGGAGACCGGTTTCAGGCCGGGACCCCACAGCTCTGCTATCCATAGAGGGAGTCTGCAGCCTGAACCTCTCTCTTCTAGGGCTGCATATCAAGTCTGCTCGCCCTGGCTGGCATTGCCACGGCCGTGGCCGCCGTTGTCTTCTGTGTGAATAGTTTAACCTGGCAACTTGTCTTCTATGACATCAGCTCCGTGTGTGATTCCTTAGTCCCTGACACCCCCACCTTTGGGTACGAAGAGACTAGACGAAGCAATTCCTATTCATCGTGGAGGGAGGAGCGCTGCAGAAACTACATGCAAATGCTGACGGTGAGAAAGGAGAGTCAGTCTTCCAGGACGCGTCACAGCTGTGCATTGGGGAATTGGGGCACCTGAGGGCAGAGACGTAAGCTCTCTGAGCTTCGACCTCATCCGAGGTCTTTGGTTCAGGAGGTTTTAACTTAATCTGAAGCCATTGTTCAGATCCTCATGGCATGAAAATTCCCTGAATCAAAGGGGATGAGGACAAAGAGGAGACATTGAAGCGAGGATTTCTTGAACCACCCTTCCGTCTTTTCTGGTGTGTGGCTGTTATCAGTTATCTATTCCTGCATAACATACCACCCCAAAATGTACTGGCTTAACACTGCAATTTACTATTACTTCTCACATTCTGTGGGTTGACTAGGCTCACATGGGCAGTCCCATTTTCTCATGCAGCTGCAGTCAGGTGTCACTTGAGGTGAAGTCATCTAAGAGCTTGACTGGGCTGGACCGCTAAGATGACACACTCACACAGCAGGGAGCTCAGCTGGGGCTATGAGCCAGGGAGCCTACAACGGCTTCTCCGTGTGGCTTGGGCTTCTCGTAGCCCAGCAACCAGGTTCCAACAGGGAGCATCCCACTGTGAGCATTTCAAGAGGTAGGAGATGGAAGCTGCCAGGCCAAATAAGGGCTACCCCATAATTGACCTAGTGTCACTTCTACTGTATTTTGTTGATCAAAGCATTACCAGGCCCTTCCAGATTCTAGGGGGTGGAGCAGTGGATCCCACCTCTTCACTGGGGGGAGGTAAGGTCACATTGCAGGCAAGCAGATGGGATGGAGTCAGTGGCTGCCCCCATAGTTGGAAGATGCAATCTGCTTTGGTGGGAAGTAGTTAGTTGGACAGGGTCTGATCCCTCCTGGGGTAGCAAGATGATAGTAACAGCAGAAGCAGAGGAGCAGACCCCTGACTGTAACTGTTTTCTTCCTTTATCTTCAGGATTTGTTCCTAGGAATCCGTGGTCTGCTCCTGGCCATCTGTGTCCTGCAGGTCATTGTATCCTTGGCTTCCCTGGGTGTGGGTCTCCGACGCTTCTGTGGCCAGAGCTCCCGGGCCCTGGTGAGATGTTAGGGAGGCACTAGGGAAGGAGCGGATCTGGTTGGTGGAGCTCTAGCGGTGGGAAGGACAACGGGGCAGGAACACTGCTGGGCAGGGCTCACGCTCCCCCTCACTCAGCCCGCTTCCTGTGCTTCACTCTGCCCTTCACTTCCTGGGGAGCATGACCCCATCACTGTGTCCTGGGTTGAATTCTGCCTTCTGCCTCTGCGCCCTTCTTTGCTCTCATTTTCCCACGTTCCCCTCTTTCCCACGTCCTAGGTCTTGTCTAGCTCCCCTTCCTCCGTCACCTTTTCCTTTCCTCCTTTCATTTGTCTGATTTCCAGTTCTATGGAGCTAACTCTACTCCAACCTTTTCCTCCCAAGAATTGATTTTCCGCCTGTTTTTTTTTTTTTTTGCAGGATGAAGAAGGGTCAGAGAAGAAGCTGTGGGGGGAGAATTCAGTGCCTCCCTCTCCCCACAAGAAGAAGAGCACAGCTGTTGTCCTGTGAGCAGCCAAAGACCCTGCCTGGACCCTGCATGTCCCCCCAGAGTAGCCCAGGGCCCCTCACTGCCCCGTCCCTCACACTCGCTTCCTTAGGCTGCCCCTCCTCTCGCCAACACCCTCACCCACTGTCCCCACTCCAAGGTCCTCAATTCAGTGAACACGTATTGTCACATTTTCCCCAATGCTGATTAAACAGAAACAACCGCAAAAAATGATTTTGTGCAGAAAGGATGTAGTCTCCCTTTGTTGATACGCAGGGTGCGTTGGTACACATGGAATTAAATGAGAGTTATGGATCATATGGAAACAAGGTCCCAATAAGACTTAATTTACGTTCTGCTCTATATCCCAAGTGCAAAAACTCCTTTTCATGATTTCCTTCTGTTCAGTGTAAAGTGAAAATAACTCTTACGTACTTAGAATCTTTTTACCAGCTAAGGTTTTCTTTAAGCATCTATAACTGATCAGTGGGCTTTACAGAACCATGTGAGACATGAAGCAAGATCATTTCCTCCCTCCCTCCCTTTCTTCCTTCCCTTCATCTTCCTCCCCCTCTGTCTCTTTCCTTCCTTCTTCCTTCCTTCCTCCCTCGTTCCCTTTCTTTTTTCTCTTTCTCCCCCATCTCTTTCTTTCTCTCTTGTTTTTTGCAGTAATTACTGTTGGTTCTCTCGCTATACACGCACACACACACACACACACACACACACACCTGTTATTCTTCAATTTCATTGTAAATGATACGATTGATTCGTTTTTCACTTTTAAAATTTTCTATGTACAATATAAGTATATAGATGTAAGCCCTTCTGCTATGGAACCAGGTTCATTTGTCCAATGTGCAGCAAGCCAAATGCTGAGATGCTGCGGTGTGCAGCAGAGAAAGTGTTTATTCACGAGGCAGCCAAGCGAGGAGACAGGAGAACAAATCTCATATCTGCCTCCCTGAAGGTGAGGGGCTTGAGATATTTATGGGATAGAGAAGCAGGGTGGTCTTAGGCATGGAGAAAGGTGATTGGAAGTAGGGAAAATGTGAGGTAGCTGGTATTCCATGCCAGCATATCTGAGTTACATGCTTCTTCAGGGGATACATGTCCAAAAATGGAGGTACTTAGCATGATCTGAGGGTGGAGTTTTCACCCCTCTGATGTCAAAAGGTCACTCACTGGACCCCTGTGCAGGCCCAGTTTTAGGGTCGTTGGTCCCAACCAGTCTTAGCCAGCTTGAACTGGACAGGAGCCGACTCCAAGCCTTGGAAAACAACTTAAGCCCCCGTTACTATAGTGACCCATTCATCAGAGGTGTTATCTATAGGGGGCCACTAAGGAGTCAAAAAATGATTAAGACAAGCTTAGTCAGTGAGCGCAGGTTACAAGGGAGGGGTTTTTAACAAGCTGTTCCCTTCCCTGCAGTTCTGTAAGATGAGCTCAAGAATTTCTGTTAGTCACCAGTTTCTGTTAGCCTTACGCCGCATGATTTCATCTCTGAAGGGTACAAAAGCGGCCATGGTCTGTAAAATTAAGACGTCATAGGGATTCTGGCATTTTCAGTTCCAACATAGTGAGCAGACTTGCATTTCCATTGTGGTTTTATGAAATCTCTGAGAGGTAGGTGTTATTACTAGTTAGAAGACCCACAGCAGAACTGGCTGGGAGCCCCACCTTTACCCCCTGCACAATCCTGCCCTACAATGTGGTGTTGGCAGGGGCAGAGCTGCTGGCATGGGTGAGGCATAGCCCCACCATTGGAGGTAAGGGTGGTGGGCTTGTAGATAGAGATTTGTAAGCAAGCTTGTGTAATAAAGGTCAAAGGGATGAGGTGGTATTATGTTCAGACTATTGGACAGTGCTTGGTAAATTACACCCTGAGGGGCAAGTCTGGTCTGCCACCTACTTGTGTAAATAAAGTTTTATTGAAACACAACCACACTTCTTGGTTTACACATTGTCTATGCAACAAGGGCAGAGTTGAGTGGTCTCAGTAGAGACTAAATGGCCCACAAAACTTAAAATAGAGTTTGCCGTCCTCTGGTGCGGGAGACCCCAGTGGAGGGAGTAGCTAGTCCTACTGGGTGATTGACAGGAGCCGGGGAGCTTGTGCTCTTGCTTCCCCAAATGTGAATCTAGCATGGGCAACAGGGAGAAGGCTTTGCCCCACCCTAGACTGACTGAGTCAGGATTTGCATTTTCTCAAGATTGGCAGGTGCTTCGTGCCTCCATCACCTTTAGAGAAGCACAGAGATAATCACATCTAGGTGTCTTGTTCAGATATAGAACAAGCCCCTTTGAATTTGATGTCTTTCATTCTTTTGATTTATTTGTTAACCTTAGCATTTTAAAAAGGAATTTTCGTGAGAAGAAACAGCAGCAGGGCAGACGCAGAGGAAGCATCTTTCCTCTCTTCCTTAGCTTAAGATGCTGTCGGTTTTTGTGGTTCGGTATTTCTAAACCGTCCCTTTAGAGCTGGATTCGATAGAAATTCTTTTCATTTTTCATTCTGGTGAATAAACGACAACTTGGTAGTTTGCTTATTTGTTGATTTTGTTGCTGTTTTTCTAGCATGAAGCGATCTCTTACTGTCAGAGTCTGGCAGCTTCTTTCTTTTCCCCCTGACGTCTCTGTATGTCTCTGAGGAAAGGCACCGTCCCTCCATCTGACCTCTCCCTCTCCCCCATTTCTTCTTTTCTGGGCTCCACTGCCCTCCCTCTCCTTACCCTGTGAATAACCTTGGAAGTTTCATAATCTTTGTTTTTCTTTTCTGTAGGAAATCAGACGTCATCCCCTTCTCCCCTTGCTTTTGTTTACTTGGAAAAACCAACGGTTATTTGTCTAGTTGCACAACTCAGTTTCGGTGACCAGATTGTATTTATGCAACTGACTTCATGACCCTGGGATCCAGCAATTAATCACAAGCCTATTTATATTTACTGAAGTGTTTAAAACCATTCAGAGTGTAAACAGGAAATGGTTCTATTTTTCTTTTCCAATCACTGCTTTTTTTTTTTTTTTGTGATACGCGGGCCTCTCACTGCTGTGGCCTCTCCCGTTGCAGAGCACAGGCTCCAGACGCGCAGGCTCAGCGGCCATGGCTCACGGGCCCAGCCGCTCCGCGGCATGTGGCATCTTCCCGGACCGGGGCACGAACCCGCGTCCCCTGCATCGGCAGGCGGACTCTCAACCACTGCGCCACCAGGGAAGGCCTCCAATCACTGCTTTTAACTGTGTTTTGTCAGCTCCCCATTTCCCCATTGGATATTGGTCCTTTTAACATCAGGACCAGATTCCAGATTCCACAACTTGGTCATTACAATGGTCTCATGTTTGGTATACGAGACCCAGTTCTGGACATGTTTAAAACTGCAGAGTCATCAGAGCTTGGGTCCCCCTGTCAGCGGAGGCCGCTGCTTGGACTGGGAGGGTTAGGGATGTGCTGTGCTAGTGTGGGGCCCCTCCCTCTCCTTCCGGTTTCCTAAAGAGTCCTGAGGGAGGCAGGGGAGGGGGTGGGGGTCCGGGCTTTCTTGGCTCAGCCGAGGGGCAGTGACCATTTGCTGATGTGATGTGGGTAGTGTCTGTTCTTGCGCCGTCTCGGAGGCATCTAGGAATTTCCCTGCCGGCTGCTCCGTTAGCTGCGTGGCTCAATCAGGAAAACTTCCTGGAAAAGTACGTCCTAAGGAGACAGCTATGAAATGCCGGGGGTGGGGAGGGCTTTCCTGCAGTACGAGTATTCATTTACTATTTCTTGCCCCTGCAAGGCCCAGAGTCTCTTCAGAGATATTTCAGTGGATGGGATAAGGCCCCATCGCCTCAGACTCCACAAAGAAGGCCCTGGAGCCTCAGATGCAAAGAATTGCTCACAAAAAAGTTTGCAATTAATTTTTAAGGGAAACTAACAGATGTGTGGACACGGGGTGGGGGGACGGGGAGGGTGGGATGAACTGGGAGATTAGGTTTGACATAAATACACTACCAGGTGTAAAATAGATAGCTAGTGGGAACTTGCATATAGCACAGGGAGATCAGCTTGGTGCTCTGTGATGACTTAGATGGGCGGGATGGGGGGCGATGGGAGGGAGGTCCAAGAGGGAGGGGGTACATGTATACATAGAGCTGATTCACTTCCTTGTACAGCAGAAACTAGCACAACATTGTAAAGCAATTATACTCCAATTAAAAAAAAATCCTTTCTGAAGTAGGAAGCAGACATTATGAAAGTGTTCATTTCCACGGTATGTACTGCTTTGAACTTCTTCAGCGTTTATTGGTTTAGTTTATTTCTCCCTCTCCCATCTTCAGTGCCCCACTCACTCCTCATTCAGGAGGACTTCTGCTTTCTTAGTGGTTTCCTTTGAAATCTTTTTTTTTTTTTTTAAAGCATGTGCACTTAACTAAACAAATTCTAAAGGTAACCAGTAACCTTATCCTCGACCTGAAAAGTACTGTGCCTTTAGAATGCTCCTTGTTAAATGATATTCTTATCTTGAGTTTTAGTTCTATATTGACTTATTTCAACCCCATAAATTAGATATTTTATTTTTTTCGTATACTCAGTGTTTGTTTAAATTTACCTATATTTTTATTAACGGGTAAAAAGCTCTCCTTTTCCTCCTGTAGTTCAGGCCTTCTTTCTGAAATCCTTTTTCTTCTTTTTTGAGGTACATCCTTTAAACGTTTCTTTAATAGTAAAGATCTCTTGGTGGTAAACCTTCTTAGTTTTTATTTATCGGAATATTCCTTATTATACCTGGCTCAAGAGAACTAGTTTCACTGGATATACCATTCCAGCTTTAGTTAATTATATCTAATTCTGGTTGCTTTTGAGATCTTTACTTTCTTTGATGTTTTGAAAATTTACTTCAAAATGTGTAGGTGTGCATGAATTTATTTTCCCTTGAAAATTCCTCCTGAGAAAGTATTTTTAAAAATTCCAAGTCTCAGAGTTCACACAATTTCTTTTTTAACCTGGGAAACTCTGAATTATGCCTTTGAATAATTCCTTTCCCACATTCTCCCTACTATTTCCTTCTGAAATTTTGATTTGCCGCATGTTAGACCCTCTCACTCTAGCTTCCTTATCTCCTAACCTGGTTTGTGCTTTTTATTTTTCATCTCTTTATTTCTACCTGCTGTGCTCTGGTTAAATTCTTCATAATTATTAACCAAGTTACCCAATTTCTGCCTCAGTTATGTATAATCTGCTTTTTCCGTTCCATTAAATTTTAAGTTCCATTAAAATTTTCTAGATATGATATTTGCTTCTTTTTCAGATCTTCCTGCTCCTTCTTGATAGTCTCTTGTTCCTAAGTCATGCCACCAATGACCTATTTTATTTCTCTAAGCTTACTACATTATTTTTTTATTTTCTGTAAGAGAAGTACCAAATTTGAAGTCTTTGCTGTTTTTTCTCCCAACTCTCACCGATACTGTCTTATTTATTTTATTAACATCTATTTGTTTTTATTAATTTTTTTTTACCATTTTGGCCATTTTTAAGTGTATAGCTCAGTGACATTAAGGACATCCGCATTGTTGTGTAACCATCACTACCATCCATCTCCAGAAATTTTTGTTATCCTAAATGGAAACTCTGTACCCATTAAATACTAACTCCCCATTTCCCCCACTCTCCCGCCCCTGCTAACCCCCATTCTGCTTTCTGTCTCTATGGATTTGACTATTCTATGTATCTCATATAAGTGGAATTATATAATATTTATTATTTCGTGTCTAGCATATTTCACTTAGCATAATGTCTTCAAGGTTCACCTATGTTGTAACTTATATCAGAATTTCCTTCCTTTTTAAGGATGAACAGTATGTCATTGTACATGGCACATTTTGTTCATCCATTCTTCTGTTGATAGGCAATTAGGTCTTGAATTGTAATGCTAAATAAACCCTCCTGTCTTGTCTATACAAGAGTGATATTAGAGAAAGTTGGGAGGACAGCTTCTAAATATTTGCTGGATGAATCAATAAATGGCATGAATTATTTTTTGCAGTGTGAGTA